AAATTCCACATCTTAATTAAGTTCAATATTTGGATAGACATGAGAAATAATGGAGTGAAAGATTGATCGTGAATCCAATATTGAATTTAATTCAACACATAATCACTTATCTACAACCCTGGTACAATACAAACATCGAAATATCGACAAAAGGTGAGAAGATAGAATCGATAGAAGAGATGCAATCGTAGATGTACCTGAAACGAAGCGAATAGTTGATCGCCAAAGAGCCAGACGACTTCGACGTTCTCGTTTATACCAATACTATAGGAGATGCTCAAGAGCAGAGCGTAGTGCACCCCGAACAGCGGAACCAAGACCAAAGTGCTCTTCGCCCACCTCCTACAAAGTGATACCACAAGTTTTTGACGCGTACAAAGCAACTCCATATCAAAGGGGATTCAAAGTTGGAAACGCGCCTGAATACTACGGTTTCTAAGAACCGTCTTAGGAAATTGGACTGGATAAACTGTCTTAGTTACATGCGACCTTTGTGCGAGATCACTGGGGAAACTTACTTGTATCTCTGGGTCTCCTCGGAAACTGTTGACTTCAGCTTCAGCAAGAGCACCCTCACTATGTTTACGAACAACACGAAGCTGATCTGTGAATAAAACGCATACATACGTGCCAATGAAAAACGTGTATGCATTGTACAGGAGTTTTCCAATATTTATTTTCGAAGAGCAAACGTTCGATGGATTTGCTGTGTTCGGTTTTTTCCTAGTTAAATGGGTAACCATTCTCCAGATGTTTCATCAAATAAATTGTGAAGTATTAATTGAAGTGAACTGTACGGAATATTGATTAAAAAATGAAATTGAATTGATGAATTGAGGGGTGGATTGAAGATTCACGAGGGACGGAATTAAAATGAATACGGGGCCCACTTAAGGGGCCTTATTAGTATGGCCGCCTAAAATTTAGGTCATTTTTTTGAATTTTCTTGTAGGCCTCCTTAAGGGCAGCAAAAAATGATCATTTTATGAGTGTAAATAAAAACTATGTTTTTATTAGAGCTCGCGAATGGATCTTTGGATGTTGAGGCCCTAGCTTTTCGTTTAATCCTCCTCTGGATGAATTGAATTCGTGGCTCACCAAAATTGACACAATGGTTGGGACTTTGATGAAGAGGAATAAATAGGGATTCTCATTGGTGGTCCAGCAGTATGTGTCTTCGTGGGTTATCCTCATGGCTATCCAACAGGAGACGAATATAGCAGGCAAACCTGAACACAGAAGCATAATCAACTCTGTTTAGTTTATTTAAGGATGTATTGGCTAATGCAGTCA